AGAGAGAGAGAGAGAGACAGAGAGAGAGAGAGAGAGAGAGAGAGAGAGAGAGAGAGAGAGAGAGAACCGTTACGCGTACCGCTATCACGTCAATCAGTAACGCATGGCTGGACTCGCCCTTTCTCTAACCACACGTCGCGTCTAGATGCCAAGATTGAGATTTTCCTTGGCAACACGCAAAAACTAGAAAAACAGCGAACGCAAGGCAAACACGCGTACGCAAAGTCACAGTGTATCGTTTGACTAGGCAATTAGAAATGAATAGCTGAATATAGAGAGATGACTATGGATGGATAGACGCACGGACGAAAGTACAGACACGCACAGGCTGACAGACACCAAAAATAAACAGGACAGTGCAGTTGTACACCATTGTAGCTCACTGCTCTCATTCATGCGACCTGATCGTGGTGTGAATAGGCAGCAATCCTCGTGTAAATAGAGGCTCATGTTTTGTTCAAGAAAAAATATCTTTCGTTATTAAGCAACGAGTGTCATGCCGCTCATATCTTAGTGTATCTTGAACGCAACTATGTTGTCTGCTGTCGTTTGCAGTAAGCTGTCTAAATGTTGTCCGCTACATGACAGAGAAGCTCCAGCAACATATATATTTATGTACAATATGCTATTTTAATATTCCATAATATTACATACGGTCATGGTTGATTACTTTACATGTATAGAGGAAACATAATATGCTCTTACGCTTACATAATTCGAGAATGCGCTAAAGATGCAAGTGTGATATTCATAGGCCCTGAATAATAATTTCTACCTTAATTACTGCTAGTCAGAAATTATATTCATTAATATAGATACAAATCTCCTTCAATTGTGAAATGTTGATTTTATAATGTTACCACCCGTAATTCTGGTTGAGGCCGTACGCCCCATTACCAAGTCCGTATCCACCATTACCAAGGCGATATACCCCATTACCAAGTTCGTATCCACCATTACCAAGTCCGTATCCACCATTGCCAAGTCCGTATCCACCATTACCAAGTCCGTATCCACCATTGCCAAGCCTGTATCCACCATTGTCATAACCGTATCCACCACTGCCAATTCCGTATCCACCTTTGTCAAGTCCGTATCCACCATTGTCAAGCCTGTATCCACCTTTGCCATGACCGTATCCACCTTTGCCAAGGCTGTATCCACCATTGTCAAGCCTGTATCCACCTTTGCCATGTCCGTATCCTCCATTACCAAGTCCGTATCCTCCATTACCAAGTTCGTATCCTCCATTGCCAAGTCCGTATCCTCCATTGCCAAGTCCGTATCCTCCATTACCAAGTCCGTATCCTCCATTACCAAGTTCGTATCCTCCATTGCCAAGTCCGTATTCTCCATTGCCATGTCCGTATCCACCACAGCCGGATCCGCTGCACTCGGGGACGGCTGGGGTGGGTACGTTGACGGTGGGGTAGACAACTGGAGCCACGGCAATGTTAGCTTGTGGAATGTTGGTGTTGATGGCAGGCAGAGCAACCTCCTGGTCCCTGGTGCCAAGGATGGGGCGCTCGAAGGAGTAAGCGTACAGAATCTTGGGCTGGTACCAGCTGTATCCGTTCCTGTATGCGTACTGGTATCCACGGGCCTTGGCGGCGGTTTCGGCAGCCTGGCTTCAATCGCGGGCGTAGTCGGCACCGGCGGCGGCGATCCCTCACGGGCGTAGGAGCTGCTGGCCACTCCTCTGACCCTCTCCTGCAACTCGTGCTACGCAGTGGGTCCCTGCACCACGGGTGCGTGTGAGCACGCGTGGGGACGCAGAGGGCGGGGTGGCGCGGGGGGGCGGGGCCGGGGACGTCAGTATAGTAAGCAGCGCAGGCATAGCCACGCAGGCCGAGCATAGATGAGGGGAATTTATTGTTGGCCTTACAGAATGGCAGATTCGGAAATACTCTTAATACAAAAATGCACGTGCGAACAAACAAAAATAAATGACGAACAAACAAAAATAAATGACAAAAAAACGAGAGAAAGGCTAAAAGCGAAACAACGATTGCTAACTAAACTTGGAATATCTCTTCTTGTATTCAAACACCCACATACTTGTTCCCTGAGCCAACTTCAACAATATGTGGCAGCGAATACCGTATCCGTGACGAACAAAACTCTGCGATTTAATACTGCCATCTTGTGCAATGAGTACAATCAACACTAGCACATCACTGCCTACCTTCAACATGTTCTGCTTGCATCTATGACAAATACGACATACGCATATACGCTTCCTACGCCACTATTTAACATAGGAAGATTCTTCCTATGACAAATATTGGCGAGTCAACTTCGTTCCTCTTTACAGCTGAAATTCACTGCTTGCGTTCATAATAGCGCTCCTAAACTCCTATGATGCGCACAACACATACAACAATATCTGTCATAGGAAGAATCTTCCTATGACAAATAGTGTCATAGGAGAGCGTATATGCGTATGTCGTATTTGTCATAGATGCGAGCAAAAACAGGCTGTTACCTTAGCGGAGTAGACACCTTACGTCGTCTGAAGTTTGCAGCGATCGAGAAGTGACGAGCAACGAAAATGGATGTTTTTATACGGATACTCTCGTCCTTGGCATCAGCTGAAGGCGACGTGAAAGTGGTGGGTGAACATGCGTGTGATTGCAGAGAAGCAAGGGGGTGGCAAGCGCGACCCACTCATTAACATACTGAGCAAATTCGCAGGCCAATAACACTGTCATTTGTACTGGCATGCATGTATTTTCACTACACAACGGGCGAGTACGTGCGCCCGGGGGGAGGGGGGGGGGGTTACACATGTAACCTTTCTCGTGGCGTCAGTGAAATGATGTAAGCTATATTATTAGCAAGTATGGTAATAATTAATAATGTGACTCTCGCATTTTACTGATAATTAACCCACTCGTTAAATTGACTACGGCACGAATTTTCTATGGTGTATATTTGTAAATTTTTGTTGCCATTTTTTTACATTAAAAGCAAGTACTAACGGAACTAAATGTATCCTCAAATTCTTACCTGATAACATTGTTTCTCAACTAGTTAAAAATCAAAAAAACCTGGACGATTTGATATTATGATCCTGACATTAATTGCTTGCTATATGGGTTTTTGTAGAAAAACAGAAATATTTATTTATATACATATATGTTGTTTTTTAGAAAATATTAGAACTGTATAAATAGGTTTATATGCTACACTTCTGCGTACTGTTTCTGTTTTTCTATCTACATTCTTGTTATTTCTAGGTTTTAGTAAGTATTAATTAATAGGCACCCTTCTCGTCCTTTCTTTTACGCTCAACAACATCATAGCAAAATAGCCAGAATTCGATGTGTATTAGTAGTTATTCGAAAGAAAGGTTCAATATTAAAACTGGTGTAAGAAGATTGTTAGTAATGCGCTAACATGTTAGCATGATGCAATGCTCTAATCTATTACAACGTACGAGTAAAAAATGAAATTGAACGCGTTCTCGTTTAGTTTACTCTCGCGTTTAGCTCAGACATAACGTTAAACATCGCCTTCTGCCTTCGTCAGGGGCGTAGCCAGCTAAAAAAAAAGTGTGTGTGTGTGGGGGGGGGTTCTTATTACTACAGCAGTGGAACTTTATACTAACGAACACCCATGTGGATATGAATATAAATATAGATAATATATATATATATAAAGAAGAATATCATAAGCTTGCTAATTAAAATTTAACACCAGATTTTAATTATCTATATTTATATTAATATCCACATGAATACCGAAGACCTATAAATATCACACTTGTTTTACTGCTTGATCGGAGTCTGGTTATTATAAGATTGATCGTTTGTATCAGTTATCATATTCCGTCATGTGTATTTTTATATTTATACAAAAGACATCTTAAATAAATTGATTTTTTTGTACAGAATATCACTCATTTCCATACTACTTTTTATCCTATCCTGTTAGCCTTATACAAAGGTTTTAATAACACTAATAACTATAAAACAGGCAAGTGCGCCATTGTGGTAACAAATCACAGGTTAGAATGCGTAAAATCATGTTTTGGCTAACAGATATACTGCTATCGTAGCTGGGAATATATTGAAGGCGTTCACTTATAAACCACCAATTAATGTAGGTATTCGTCTATGAATGCATAACAGACGGGTTCACGTTTATACTGGAGTGCCATTAACCACCAGCCTCATATACGGTGTTTAAATACGAGAGTCAAACTAATATTATGACTGTACAAATATACGCGGCACTTGTTTTGCCCAGCGACACTCTTCAAGACATGTCATCTGAATATTGTTTTTCTCATAGAGAAATAAAAAAACAGTGATATATATATATAATAAATATATATAAATAATATATATATATATATAAATGTGTTAAAAAGTGAATCGAAATGCTGCGCTACCCCTGGGTCCGTCTGGCTAGGAGAAGCTTCCGTTGATTCCATGTTAGCAGGGTTATTGTGATGGTTATTGTGATACAGTTTTTTTTCAGCTGTAAAAAGTTAGAAGAACCGTGACGAAGACACCGACCAAGTCGAAACTAGTCGTTCATTGCTAACTTAGTGTAGGCAATTTTTAAACAATACTTTTTTTACAATTTTTTTATTATACATTTATAATGGCAACAACAAAACCACAAAGCTAAATCCTCGTGGGGTAGCTCAGTCGAGCTGTGCCCCGTAGAGGCTGTCGCAGGCCTCTCCTCACGACATGTCCCTATATATATAATTATAATATATAGATATATTATATATGTAATACATCTTATATACATATCTATAATATATGAATATATGTATGATATATATATATATATATATATATATATATAATATATATATATCATATATATATATGGGACATGTGTGAAGGAGAGGCCTGACAGCCTCTACGGGGCACAGCTCGACTGAGCTACCGCCAACGGGATTTAGCTTTGTGGTTTGTGTTGGCCATTATAAATGTATATAATAAAAATTGTAAAAAAGATAGTATTGTTTAAGAAATTGCTACACTAAGTTAGCAATGAACGACTAGTTTCGACTTGTGGTAGTCTTCGTCAGGTTCTTCTAACTTTTTACAGCTGAAAAAAACTGTGTTCTTCAGCGTGTCTTCTCCTCCTAATATACGCCTAGGTGCCTGTCTAAGAGGGGGGCGCCAAATAGGGGGCGCCGAGGGGCGCCAGGTGTTCAGGGGGCGCTAAAAGGGGGCGCCGTGTACAGAAAGGGGGCGCCTCGTGTTAGGGGGGGCGCTGAAAGGGGCGCAGGGGGCGGCCAAAAGGGGGCGCCCAGTGCGTAGGGGGGCAGCCAAAAGGGGGCGCCGTTCAGCTAGCAGGGGGCGCATCGAAGGGGGGCGCCTCTGATTTCGTGATCTGTACTCGCTCCTGATTGCTAAAACGTCTGCCGTTTGCGTCATGGCATTCATGACGTGTGTGTAGGTTCACACAGGGTCGATGTAGGTCTGCCGACGTGCTGTACACGTTGTGACGTCATAGACTCTTTCGTCATGTCGCGTTTGTAGAGAGGATTGGGGTTGTTTTTTTTGAAAAAACAAAGCATGTGGCACGTTACAGATCGCGTAAGAAACACAAAACAGGTGTCTGTTCCTCCCTGTTGTGCGTATACGCGATCCCTCACGTTACCCCGTCCAGACGTGTAAAATAACTAGGGTATGGTATGTTGGTTAATATGGTCCCTGCTGCGGGGCGTGAGGGTTGAATGACCCCACGAAACGGGTGTGTTGATTATTCACCGTAGGCGGCCTTACCTGTGAGTCCCCCCGTTTCGGTAGGGGTTCTCGGAGTCTTCCGCCGTACGACCGCCCTCAGGTGAGGGGAGGCGTGGGATAGTAAAGGAGTGGGGTCAGTAAGGGAAAGATTGAGAGGAGAAGGCGGATTGGTTGCAGGCTTAAGAGTCAAGGTGAATAGTGGCTGGAGAATTAAGCGACGGTGTGGGTTGAAGAGCAACACTACTCGTGTGTGGTCTCCGACCACGTCAAGTTCGGTCCTTCCAAATCGTGGACGCAAAAAGAAAGAAGAGAAGACGAAAGGAGCTGGTAGAGGTGGTTAGTGTGAAGCCTCTACCTCGTCTAGTAGCTGTTCCGCAAAGCTACCCATCACGTGTGCGTGGGCGCAGGTGCGTCGCAACGACCTTCTTCTCCTGATCATTTTTAGGCACATGTCCACAATGTAGATGCGGGCCCTCGTTGCATCGTCTCGCTTGTGCTCTCCATAAGAGTCTGGCGCGTTGGGAACGTACTTGCGCACGCGCTGGCATAGGAACGGTCTTTCACGTGGGCCTCTGTTCTATCTCAAGTGTTGTCTGCTCACCGGTGGCTATGGGGCTTGTGTCGTAGAGTCATCGGGCCTGTAGGGGCCTCATCTGTGCGACCGCCTGGTGTGCATGTTGAGGTGAAGGCTTGCGTTCTGTTGCGCTGGTTATTTTTTGGAGTTACCGGTGGACGTTACGTTTGAGGTGATTTGTGACAACTAGTTGTGGCGTGGTGTAGAGGGTTTTCCGCTGGGTGGCGATTTATTTATGGGGCAAAGGTGACGTCATGTCGATGTGATTAATGACGTCCTGCGAATATGTCAGGGGGTCGCTTAGGGAAGGGTGTATTTAAGAACCACAGTGCCTGTCATAGCCATTTGGTGATTGATGACGTTCTGGCGTGGAATGTCCGGGGGGGAAGGG